TATAATAAAGTGGTAATTGAACTTCGTGTCGTACAATTTTGGTCTGAAATCAAACTTGCAATTACAAATCGCACTCCCGCTACGCGGTCGTGCGATTTTGTAATCGCGCGTTTGATTTCAGACCAAATTGCACTCCACTCAGTTCAATTACCATTATTAATATTAATTGTTTATTGAAAATGAAATTGCCCTTTTTAATGCCTTCTTATTTATCATGGTTTTTTGGTCATGGAATTACCTTCAAAGTGTTCATACATAAAAATAATAAGGAAATGAGCATTTTCAGCCATCCTTGCTTTGGTTCATTGTTCGTGCACCGTCAGTAAAACGTGATGGTACGGAATACATTGGCTACCTGAATTGTGGGACTAACGATAGTAACGTCATACATACATAACAATAGATTGTCTCAAGTTATTCGAAACCATCCATGAGACGTTTGTCCTAAAAATAAAATGGTCTAGTAAGATCAAGTCAAGATTCACTGAACTTAACACGCTATTTTCACCTGAGTCTTGTTAACACGATAATTTTTACGACGGGGTTCGCGCCGCGACCTTCAGCCTTGGGCCTGGCTCCGAAGGCTCCGGGCTCCGGATGCTGGTGAAAGAAAAAAAGAAAGAAAAAACACTTTATGTATGACTAAAAGGGACCTGGCTTTGTATACTGAATGCCTGAAGACCAAAAATGTGGATCAAAACCTTGAGAAAATAGAGGCAAGAGAGTTGAACGAGCTGCTTTCTGCCTTCCGCGTTGAAGTCATGAGGAAGAAAGACAAAGATGAATACGAACCGCTGATTTAAGGTCATTTATATCAAGGTTTAACCGATACTTGAGGAAGAAAGATTACCCTACAACAATAATGGAAGGCCAAGCTTGTGAAGTTAAAGTTTTGACAAATTGTATCTTTATTTTATTAAAGAAAACAAGCATTTATATGTGAATTCTAATAATACTGAAGCTTATAAGCTTAGATAATAAAGAGAAAACATAGAAAGTGTCTTTATTTCACTAAGAAAACAAGCATTTATATATGAATTCTAGTAATATGTATATGTTCGTGTTTTGAGGCAAACAACTCTTGAATATAACCCCGTACGTCGCACTTTCTATGAAGTAATCTATCTTTATTCTACAACTACTATTTGGTAGTAGAATGTTTTACGATACAGTTCAATTTGAACGTAAACATTTTAGTCAAAACTCACTTACAGATTAGTTCAAGAAAGGCAATACGAAAACACTCAGATCAATAAGTTGGTATTGCTGGCAACTACAGAGTCAAGCGGTAAAGATATGTAAGTTTGAGAAGGGTCGAGCAGTAAACAAGGGCGTTATGGTGGTTTCTGGTAATGGTAGACTCGGAAATGTAATCATACACGAGTGACAAGTAAGGATACTCTTACACAACTAAACTATCGCTTTCACCCAGCTATATAATAATGGCTGCAATTGCTTCTCTTTGAGCCCAAAGCACATTTTATTGAGAGCAACGTGCATTTATAACGTCATAACGCAGTCCTCGGTTACATAATAATCCGTCATTTTGTTTTTATCAGTTGGTCTTGCTTAAGTTCCAGTTTTGATAATGCGCATGTGCGAAATAGAGTTTTCCAGAGCCCAAATTTCGTCGAGCATGCGAAGTAAGAAATAAGATCTGAGTACGTTAAATGATTCATTGTGATCCTATGGGGTCGAAAGTTCAAATTATGCTTAATAGTTTTACTCATTGTATTTAAAGTTTAATTCACTATGATTTCTATTACCACTTTTCTCATTCGGTAAAAATAACCCCCTGTGCTTTATGACTGAAGACTCATCTGTAAAGGCTTAGCCTCCTTTAATATCAAACCATTTGCAAAAGTCAACTGTGAAGTAAAGAATGTGCAAGTTGAACAGCATCAATTTTTCGAAATCTCACAGACTTTTAATGGTATCTGTGAATAGCTGACTTATAAACGAGAATATGGCTAATTTGATTTTTATTTGAAAAGATTAACTTTTGAAATTCGCACCTTTATGTCAGCTCACAACGCCGCCACGTTTTTTACTAGACTGCGTGGCGGTCGGGTTACCAGTGCACTAGCAGCGTCCCTGGAAGGCGGGATTTTTTTTCAAACAATTAAGGTATTATTTACCAGATCAAAAAAAAAAAAAAAAAAAGTTTTTTAAGGACAGGGAAGTCTTGGATTATTAGTTTTAATGATTTTTTTCGATGGTTTCAGTGTAGCACAGTTTGATATTTTGTTTATCAGTTTTAAACTACGATTTTGAAATGTTGGAATTCAAAATATTGCAGGTTCTTTAAGTCCTTTTATAAACAAGTTTTAGTTGTAATTTATTGCTAGTTGATCAATTTTTTTCATCCAAATCATTGTTTTTCATATTTGACTATGGCCAAACAGCGCATGTGCCAAAGTGTTATTTTAACTAAATAACTGGTACTATAGAACCCTTTGAAAATATCAAACCAAAGACGAAAAATACTATGTTCCCTTAGCAAAGCAAAACGCTATATATGTATATATATTTGAAAAAATAAAGTATAAAATATAAGGTCAAAAGTCAATATTACCAAAAGTTGTTAGCAATATATAATACTTTCGAAAATCACTAGTTTATTGTCAGGCTTGTTTTAGTTTGCAGCAACAACAAAAAGGAATCATGTCTAGAACACTAGTGTTGTTTTCGTTTGGAATGACTGAAACACTTGTCATTTACCCTGTTTATATTTAATGACTCCTTAGATGATATTAAAACAACGTTTAAAATCTTTCCATTGACATAACACTCCTGACAAGGCAACAGGAAGGCAGTCATGGAGTTTAGGCTGTAAGTCATGTGGCTTAAACAACTTTTCCTTGCTTCTTGGCTGCTCCTGTAAGTATTCAAATTATCTAGTTCAAACGAGTTTGAATAGTCGGTTTTTTCTTCTTCTTCTTTTTTTTTTTTTTTTTTGTAAATGGTAGTTTTTTTATGGCTTATATGTCTTATATTATAATATGCATAAAGATTATAAAAATCAGCTTTTTCTTTATGTGAAATATAATTTTAAATTCTTTTGGTCTCTACAAATATTTGTACAATAAATTAAAGACTGTACGAGATCATGTCCTATTCCCATTCTATACCATCACCATATTTCTAAATTTCATATAACGCACTGGAGTGGTTTTTATAAGCCCGTGAAATACACAGACTAATACAAATTAGTAGACCCTATTGTTTTCCATTGTGTTCTTTTTACAGGTTTATGAAAATCACTCTAAGATTGAATTGAGTAATTTCAAATTTTCTGGTCTTATAGCCTTTTATATAATTATGGTCTCTTTTATTAATTACCGTTATTAATTACAAATCTTATATGAATTTGGTTCCAATTTAAAGTAAAGTATAATCAACTGAGCTCAGCTTTGATAACTCACAACATAACATAAAGCTTTGCGATACTACTTCGAACTTTTTGATAACTTAAAAAAATCAAAAGCGTTTATGGGATGACCATATTGCTATCAATTCAATTGTCTTGTGTGTTTCGGGGCAATTGGGATAGAAGCATCACCTTTGTTGAAGTTTATTACATCGCAGTTAGTCTATTAACTATAGTTAACCCGTTCTTTTAAACTACTGTTAATCACTTAATCAAAACCAAATTGTTCATTTAGATGAATATCCTTTCATCACACTCATATAAATATAATTATAATCTGCGTCGCTTTCAGCGCTTGGTTCAATCAGTTTTCATATATCGGCTGGAATTTGGTTTATTATCTCTGCTGTTAATATTGCAATTTAAAGTTCCCAAGAGATCGTAGGCTCAGATCACTTTAGAGTCAAAACGGCACAACCTTACCCCCTATGTTCCATTAATGACTTCATTATTTGAATATTGAAATTCATTATTCTTTCCGAGAATACCAAGACTCCGGATTTAAAATGATAACCAATTCAAAACACGAATTCTGACTGGACTATGGTGTTTCTTATATAAAATAGTCCAATCAGAATTCAAGTTTTAAATTCGTAATTATTTCAAATCTTGTGTCTTCGTATTCTTGCAAAGATGAATAAATTTCAATATTTGAATAATGAAATTGTTAATGAAACCTAGAGGGGTAAGGTTGAGCCGTTTTGACTGTAATCAAATGGAAAGATATCYACGGAACCTTCGTCTAATCTTGAAGTTATGCTTTTTTAACACTAAGCTATCGCTTTATTATATAATCCCTCAAAGCGTAAATAGTTGACAAGATAAATTTTGAAAGTACAAATTATAGCTTTAAATTAGGGTTTCTTGTAGATAGCTAAGAAAGTTCACCAGAATTTTTGGATTTAGTTTTAGATTTTTTTTTAGGTCGTATCTTCATATTTGGTTTTCGAGTGAATATTCTTGTTGAAGCGTAGTAAAACTAAATTGTGGAAAGGTGATAAAATTACTAGCTAACTACAAGAAATGAATAACCAGCGAAGAGAAAGCCCAAGAAACATGATGACTTTAAACATCTACGTTTTCTGCGGCAATGCTAACTTTATAAATATTCACAAAGAATACACTGAAAAGCTTCATAGTTTTTTTAATACTTATTATTCTTATACCACTTTTTGGTGCTTTCTGAGGCTTACACGTTCAGCCGATCAGAATAAATGGCGAAAAAAAAAAATAATAATAAAAAAAAATTGGGGACGGGGGTTTCGTTGAAGGGAAAAATACTAAACTTTTTATTATAAATGTTACAATACAAGAAAAATGTGGCACATTTCGATAAGTAATTAATTAATGATGGATTAACGACAGTTACGGAAGGATAAAAGAGTCATGTAGATTGAACCAGTAAATTAACCAGTATGTGAAAAACACAACTTAACACAACAACTAATTTCAGCTCCTGATATTCATAACATGTTTCCGACAGCCAAATAATGAATTCATAAGTTGTCATGGGATAATATAAAACGCTATCCAAACATGAAAGTAAAGAAGAAAAAAAAAGGGATTTTGTTTTAAAAAACAAAAAACATTTATAAAACAGAAACGATTGCTACCATTCGAAATGGGACTTAATAAAATACATAAATGTATGAACATAGCAAGTGCAGCCTCCATTTGGGGGCATTATTTGGTCCTCCCTCAAGCGAATTCGAAAAAAGGTTCAGTTTATCGAAAACTTCTTCATCGGCTTTTTTTCACTGTATACATTTGTGTATGATCAGGAGTGCACAGTTTAAACTCCAGATTTCATCACCATCCTGTCATTCACTGTCATTCATCCGTCTCGGTCTCAACGTCTTTCGAAATTAGGGGTATAACTGTGTACATAATTATTTTTTTTAGCTGATAAAGTTTCAAAAAATATATAGGTTATCCTCTTTTTGTTTTCGTTCCATCCTGGTATATTACTTGTACATGCTCATAAAGGTGACACTCCACCAGCGATTAACTGGTATTATTATAATTTTCGTCGGGTCACTAGTTCGAGCCCTGCGGTCGCCACATGCGAATTGAGTTTGTTTGATGTGTTGCTCTCTCCTGTGCCATGAGGGTTTTTTCCTGGTTCTCCGGTTTTCCCCCCTCCGTAGAAGTGGTAATGAGCGCGATTGAAAGCAGACTCACATCAGCGAAAGCTGCCAGGATAATCAGCCTGGTCTAACAAATAAAAATTGTTATTATTATTATTAGGCTTGAATAAAGAGTTTGGCGCGCTGTGATTGGTCAAGCGACCAGCGATTCTGGAACAGAAATCACTGCTCGAGCGGCGTTAAATAGGTTTTCTATTGCCAGAGCGAAAATAATACCAAAAAGGTTCTAAATCGAGAATATGACGTCACATAAACAGGAAATATAAACACTGATAGGTTCGGAGCAGTTTCTTGGTTTTAACTTGGTTGTAAAAATTACTAGTACTAATAAAACAATAATGATCTGGATCATCAGGCGATCAGTAGTATTTTGTTCTCAGTAACAACCTAGTTCATCCCTGCTTTTGATGCTTTTTTTTTCTTCAATAATTGAGAATAAATYTTCGCTTTCTTATATTTCAACTACCTTGCTCGTTTGAGCGCGGCGGCGCTTATTAATTTTTTTGAGTTTCATGTGCGGCGTTAATTCGGGGGCGCGTTTATTTATCATATACATAATGTGTAACCAATGATTTAATACGAAGTGAATACAAACGTTTTAAAAAATACAAAATTTCAATGTTTTTTGTATTGATAAAGCGGGGGCGCCGCTTATTAATAATCCTGGTTTTAAGTGCGGCGCTTATTTGAGGACGGCCTTTAATCGGGGCGGCGCTTAAACGAGTAAATATGGTACATTTTTGCGATTTTAAAAACGTGAGGGGAAAGTGTTTTTGTAAAAAATGTCATGCTTTTCGGTTTCTTTTTACCTTTTATTAAGAATTTTATCTCATAAGAATAATTGTAAGAAAATACTAACTTTTCATATTTAATTGGTATTTCAGATTAATAGCAGCCACCGACGGTAAGTAGAAAAAAATTAAGTTAAGAAAAAAAGATGTTAAGATGCATGGGTGTTATCACAAGACGCAGTGTTTTGTCGTGAATGAGTCTTTTGTAAGGTGCCTGTAATTGTTGACAACGTCTGTCACCACCAGCAACAGTCTTTCTCAAGACTATACTAACCCGGACGACCACACTTCACAAAAAACTAAATTTACAGATTGAAAAACTTTTATTGCTTTTAAGGCGCGATTACGCGAAGCGATTTTCTCTGCAACTTGCATGTCAACTCGTGATGTTGAACTGAAATAATTGGTTATTATGAGCAGTGAAAAAAGTTTGGTGAATTGGATTGGTCAATTTGATGTAATTATTTATGGTTGTTTTATGGCTCTACCATAGACAATAGGTTACCTCAGACTCAGTGTTCTACCAATTTTTTTTTTTGGCAGTTTTAACCAGTTCATTTTTACAGGGTTTTTAACGGCTTTGTGACACAAGTTGCATGGAGCATTGCAGCGCGTATCCTACAGCGCAATATGAGAACAAGTTGCTGGAGAAGTTGCACCAATCTTTGCAAAAAGTAGAATTCGTTTCTACTTTTGGCAATGATTGCGTCTCCGTGGTACCCTGTAACCTGTCTAAGTTGCAGAGAAAATTGCTGCGTGTAATCGCGCTTTTAGAAACGGCTCAACGATTTTATGGCACAACGACATATCATGATCATTATTATTATTATTATCGGATTAATCTTAGTAGATAGTAAACTATAAATATTTGTCACTGTTTTCACAGAACGCGTCACTTGATAATCTCAATGTCTAAACTCAAAATCAATATCCCCTTAACTCGAAACTAAACAGTTCGCGGGCTGGTCGGGAGATCCTTGACAGGCTGTTGTTATTGATTATTTTTGACAACGGGTACTAATCGATCCCTTGCGCAATCCAAGTTCCCCCCTCCCATCCCCTCCCCCCTTCCCCACGTAAATATGAGAAGACAAATAAATTACGATCATACTTTAGGTCGCCGTAATCGTCATCGTATATACCCAAGTGGTATTTCGAATGGCCGTCTGCACAACAGATACATCACAGCATCCAGTCAATGGGACAAAAACCACGCCCCATGGCTTGCTCGTCTGAATCGCAAACGACGTGGACGTCTAGTTGGAGGGTGGTCAGCTCGTAGAAATAACAGGGGTCAATGGATTCAGTTCAACTTTAGATCGCCGAAGAATATTTACAAGGTTGTAACTCAAGGAAGAAGCGATGCGAACCAGTGGGTGACCAGCTTTACCATCCGTTACAGTGTAAATGGAAGACGATGGTTGTGGTATAGAAGGAAAAGCGTACCTAAGGTAGGATTTAAAGACAGTCAGTGAAGCATTCTTAGTATTTGGTTTGTGCTTAGATTAGTGTTTGGCTTAAAGGAAAGACATGTGGATATTACGACATTTTACTGCCCGCGATTAAGATCGTTTTACCAAGCATTCGGCTCAATACGAATGGCTCGAGTGAGGTATGAGTGAGATGTGCAGTGCTTCGAAAAAGTTGCAAAATGACGGTATACTTTATTTTGCGCAAAAAAAGTTGAATTCCCCACCAAAACCTTTAGTAGGTCCCAGTATTTTGTAAATCAAGTGTTCATTGGTCATTTCGTGATTGTCACAGAACAAACTGATTTGAAGTTCACACAGTCAGAAATTTACGATTACAGCAACTTTTGGCAGAAAAAAGAGGAGGGAGATTTAAAAACGAAAATATATTACCGGTCACGAATTTAAATGAAGTGTCTGAAACTCGCTCCCAGACCCCCAAAGTTTAGCCCTAAATTTTAGCAAAATAGGCACATTTTCGAGCAAAGTTTAAATTTTCAACGTGTTATGCTTTGCTTTCTCATAATGAACACTCGAATTCCAATCATTTGGTTATTGTGTTATATAGAAATGCTAAATATTTGTGGGGGCAAAAAAGTCCCGTCATTTTTGACCTTGAAATTGTGAGTCGCATATGCAGTATGAGTTTATGGAGTCCAACCGGCGGCCATCGTGTTTGCGGTGTAAAACTCATTTAGAGTTGAGTAAATGAATTCAAAATTTAAAAAGATTTTCCTTCAAGTTTCACTTAAGACAGAAAATCAAGTGAGTAATTTTCATTAATAACATAAATATTATGACTGGAACTAGTTATTTAACCGTATCTTTTTATATCAGGTCTTTCCAGGAAATCGCAACCGAAACTCACTGAGATGGAATAGATTTCGCCCATTAATTACAGCTAAATATGTTCGAATCTATCCAAGAACCTGGCATGGACACATTTCTCTGAGAGCGGAGTTCTATGTCAGTAGAGCATGTAAGTAATTAATGCTTTCGTGTTCATGAAAATGAGGGGAAAATCGCACCAGTTTAATTTGTTTCTATCCTATTGGTATCCTTATCGTTGTTGGAGTAAAGAATTTATTTTGAAACTTCTTTATCTGATTTTTTGTATATTTAGCGGTATTCCACTGTTTCTCAGTGTCATGCATACATTGCTGCCTGAACGGTATTACCATCAATGTGTGATAAAAATAATCACGATGGTTTTTTTGTGGTACAACATGAAATATCCCACTTGTCTTGTATATTTTCCCAGTAAAAACATTTAACTGGATGCTCGTTTGTAAACTGTCAAATACATGTGCCTCGTTGGATGTGTCATGCTATACCACTCAACTCATTTTATCGCTTGTGATAAATAAGAATGATCCTCTGAATTGATTTTGTTTAAATTTGAAGCTCGTTATAAGTTGCCAATGGGTCTGGAGAACAAAAAAATTCCTTCTTGGGCAATAAGAGCTTCATCGCAATGGGACCGCAACCATGGCCCATCACGTGCTCGACTCAACACGGTTCGACGTGGAAGGAAGACAGGAGCATGGTCTGCTAGAAAGAATAATAGACGACAATGGATCCAAGTGAACTTTGGAAAGCCAACCATCATCAGTAAGATTCTTACTCAAGGTCGTCAAGATGCGAACCAGTGGGTCAAGTCATACACTGTATCGTACAGCAACAATGGAAGGCACTTTAGGCCTTACAGAGTTAGGGGGCGAGTGAGAGTAAGTGCACTTTTTAACCTAAGGTTCACCCCCCGTCCCCCCCCCCACTACCACACACACATACTTTTTACTCGCTGCATCCTTGCATGTTAGAATTAAAGTCAGCATACTGATTTCATTATTCATACTACACTTAACAAAATTACTCGATTATGATTGGTCGGGAGGAATCTTAAATCGTACTCGGTATAAGAGTAGAAGCTGCTAAGGGAGCCTAATGATAACCATTTTTGATTTGTTTTTAACTTACCAAACCTTTACAGCTAATATTTTTTATGTATTTTAATTGCCCTTAATAAGGGTATTTTGAAGAAAATTGGCCCAATAGACAGATACATAGCTTCGCTTCAAATCTTTTGCTGATTGTACTAAAAATGAATATTTTGGATAAAGCTTATTATCTGACATTATCAATATATGGAAAATAGTTGCTTTCTAGTTCTAGCCTGCGTAGCGGCGCTCTAGTCTAGTTCTAGAACTTTGTGCTTAAATTTTCCACCTTTTTTCGGCAGACATTCCGGGCAAACAGAAACAGAAATTCCATTGTTGTACGTTGCTTGAGGCCGTACATTCGAGCACGTTTTATTAGAATCCATCCTCAAACTTGGCATTCACACATCTCTATGAGAATTGATTTCAGGGGGATGCATAAAGGTAAGAAATATTTCATTCGTTAAACTAAAAACTAAAACTATTTTCGTTTTCTTTCATGTGATATTTTTGAACTTTACTTATTTCTCAATAGGAGTGGCTTTACCCAAACTCCGTGCCCTTGGAATGCAGAGCGGTCGCATCCGTAACAACCAGATTCGTGCATCCTCAAGCTGGGACCGTAACCACGGTCCCTTCTTGGCCAGACTAAACAGACGTGCACGAGGAAGATATCAAGGTGGATGGTCATCAAGACATAACAACCGTAACCAGTACATACAGGTAATCTTAATCTTTTTATATCGATACCAATTTCTTTATTCGATTACGATTATGATTTATTAAAAAGTGATTGATTAATTTTACTTTTAATAAGGTGAATTTCCGACGTCTCAAAAAAATTATTGCCATTGCAACACAAGGTCGCCAGAACGCTAACCAGTGGGTTACAAGTTACTACATAACCTACAGTTTGAATAGAATACGCTATATACCGTTCACATATCGAGGTAGACGTAAGGTAAGTGTATCCAGTCATAAATCATTATATAGCGACAGATTTAAAAGTATGACTGGCGTGATGGATTCGGAAACCTTTGCGCACAGCTTTTTTTATGTTAGACCGACACATTTCGATGCGAAGCTGGCGGGTTTACCAAAGAAGGAGCGTAAAGGCTCGTTTGACGGCAAAATGCCCATATATAGAAGTTTGGGAATGCATTCTCTACTTTCGCATGCCCCATAACGCTTTGCGCCTTGGGGGTAAAATCAAAACAATGTTCAAAAATCAAACTTTCTTCAATTGAATGTACACTATACCTGCTTTTATATGTACAATATTGATTATTAGTTCATTCTGAGTTTATTTTGCGCTTTCAGAACATCAAAAGCTTTAGTGTTAAAGAAAATATATTAACTTGCAAAGAAATATTTAAAATGTACTTTAAACTTATTCGAAGGTTCTCTTCTCTTTCTCTTTCTTACCGTTTCGCTTTATATTTGGATATCAAACGAGGTATTTTCAACATTGTCTGATTAGCCTTCAGCACTCTAGTTACCCCCAAATTCGCAAAGCATTATGGGTATGTGAAATAAGAAAAATAAATACAGTCATACTTTTTCCCGGCGCGCTGAAAGTAGTATCTATGTTTTGTTATGTTTTAATTGGTAGCAGTTATAAAAGCACCGCAGTCCTAAATAAAGTAATGCCAACAAAAATATTAATTCTTTCTTGTATTATTTGCATCACAATCTCCCAGAAATTCCGTGGAAACAGGAATCGAAATGGAATAGTTCGACACATGCTGAGACCAAGCATCAAAGCAAGAAGCATCCGTATTCACCCAATCAGCTGGAGAAGCCATATTTCAATGAGATTTGAGCTGTATGGTCGCAACGCTGGTATGCAGCATATACGATTATATATCCTACAATAGATTACATAAGCCAAAAAGAACAAAGCAAAATTTCTTCCCAAAAAATAAAACAAAGGGTCTTTGTTACATCATTTCCACGACGCAATAGGTTCTTTTCAAATTCGTACAGTACAGTACAGACTCTTTTCAAATTCGTACAGTACCACTTAGTTTCTTACAGACTCATTTACTCGGGGGTACTCTCATTTAAGCGTTTTCATATTCCCATACTAACGTACAGAGCTTCTACAACACCAACAATTTGGAATTCCACTTTGACATTCGGTGGAACACGTAATTATTATGCACAAGAACAAGACTAACATTTAGCAAAACAGAACTGTTTTTGTCATAACTAATTGGCCGATCACTGTACAATAACCATTTCGTGTCCGTATTTTGGTTTATTGCCGAATTTTCATCCCCGCTAGTGCATGCCTTCCTTCCTTCCTTCCTTCCTTCCTTCCTTTCTTTCTTTCTTTTCTTTTTGAAAAAATTGTCTTTTGTGTTTGCTCAAACAACTTAGTTTCTTGTTTTAGCGCCATCGGAGCCTTACTAACGAAAGTAGCATCCTTGGTCTCTCTAAGGTTATCATAATTGAAATACTTTTTTCTTTCATGATTGTGCAGCATCTAGATCTCCGGCTCTTGGAGTTCAAGACGGACGTATTCCTGACTCAGCTTTAAGTGCTTCATCCATGTGGGACCATAAACACAGACCAGCAAATGCCAGACTCAACTTATATCGTCGAGGACAGGCTGGTGCATGGTGTTCAAGACACAACAGATATGGCCAGTGGCTGCAAATTGATATTGGAAGCCTTGCCCTCGTGACTGGTATTGCTACACAGGGACGACAAGACTATAGTCAATGGGTGACAAGATACCGACTGAGGTACAGCAGAAACGGACGAAGATTCCCGTTCTATGGAGCTGGCAGAAGAATCTATGTGAGTAAAAGATCACCGTAAATTAAAAACCAATACCTGTGGAAGGAAAGAACAAAAGTAATAAGGAACATATAAATGACGAAAATAGAAAAGGAAAAAGGGATTAATGTTTTTAAAGGAAGAAATGTTTTACTAATAGCAGAAATCAGAATCACATTGCCTTTAAAATAATTGTTTTATCTGCATTAAATCTACTGTTTATCCAAATGCCGTAACATCGAATAATTGTTTTGAGGCAAAAATATATAGTATAGCTCCAATTTGAACTCCTTTGACGTCAAGTGCAAGGGATCTATTAGCAAACTGCATCTTTTTTTTACAGAGTTTACGTGGCAACAAAGACAGGACTTCCGTCGTCTACCACCGTCTACGACCATTCTCTGCTCGATATGTCCGTATCTACCCACAAAAATGGCATGGTCATATGTCTATGAGAGTTGAACTTTATGGTCGCCGATACAGTGAGTCAAATTAATCACACTACATAACTACGTCGCCCGTTTCCGGAGCGTTAACACATAGCACAAAGCAAGAATTCTTAATTTATAAATATGTTATATGATTGCAAAACGATTCAACTAACATTCTTATTTATTGGGAGTGTTTCCAGGATCATGTTAGGTGTCATCCAAACAAGACCCACAGAAAACCCATGTCCAAATGAAACTTTACTTTGTGGGCATGCTCACGCTCAAGTTATTCCAATACTTTATGAATATCGGCAACATGACTTATTAGATCATCATAATAATATCTTAAAAGCACTTATTAGGGGACGTAATGTTTCCATTGTTATTGTGGTGTAAACGTGCCAATTATGTAACGAAAGATTATATCACTCTCTTCTTTACATGCGACATGTGAACTCCTTATCGTCAGTATGTCGATATGTCGATGGAATGTTCAATAGATTTTTGGCTGGCAATTTAAATGACAATCAACCAAAAAATATATACATTTATTATATATAATTACCAATGAAATATCTATTTTTCTCTATTTCGAAAAATTGATATCTTCACACGTAAAATAACATGTTATTTTCACGTGTGAAAATAACACCATTGCGATGGCTATTGAAAAATACAAGGAAAGAATTGCCTGAAAAAGCCAAAACATACTTCATTGATAATTCTATAATAAACAGAATATTACATGGGCGCTTGGAGATACGAAATTTATTTTCTCGTGTTGAAATTCTCTCACTCGTTCGCTGCGCTTACTTGTGAGAGATCTTTTCAACACTCGAAGATAAATGTCGTATCTCCGCGCGCCCATGTAATATCCTCTATATATTGTATGTCCGCGTATATTTTGTATTTCAATTTATATATACTATCAAACAATATTTTCACTGCAGTTTTTCGTGTTTGGGTTTTTTTTTCAAACCTGCGATTATGATACTTACCAAAAACATCCGGTTTGTTTCATAAAGCTCGAGTACCTCGCGGAAAAGCACTTGGTATCTCCAACCGTCGCCTACCGAACAGATACATCACTGCATCAAGTCAGTGGAACAGATACCACGCCTCATGGCTCGCTCGTCTTCACCAGAAGCGAAGAGGCAGGTACATGGGTGGATGGTCTGCCAAGAGAAACAGACGTGGAGAATGGATTCAGTTTGATTTGAGAAGGTTCAAAAAGATCTACAAGATTGCCACCCAAGGTCGTAGCCACCACAACCAGTTCGTAAAGAGCTACATTGTTAAGTACAGTTTGGACGGACGACGCTGGATGTCCTACAAAGTGAACAGTGTAGTTAAGGTAATCGTGAGTTTCTAGTTAAGAAAACATGTAACTTTAAGTGTAAGTATAAATTAAAGTGGACTGAGAAGTTTGAGAAGCCCAATTTAAAACCTCGTCCTTTATGTTTTATCACCTCTCTAGATCCATATTACCAAAATGATACGGCCTCGTTCAATTAGGATTATTCTCAGATTCTAGCTGCTCGTTATTAAATGCCACTGTCGTATATAAGGTGGAGTTTCCTCCATGCTACAAATATTTGGGCATTGGCAGATCATATCGAATTATTTGGATTAAAATTGAAAAAAATATTTGCTTTTTTTCAAGATCTCTATTGTTAACTCTATTTAATACAAGTCAAACACTCATTTTTGTGTTTAAAGATTCTTCCTGGAAACAGAGATCGAAACACAGTTAAACAAAACTTGTTTAACCCTCCCATCATCGCACGCTTTGTTCGTATCTACCCATGGACTTGGCATGCTCATATGTCTCTCAGGGCTGAACTTTATGGTGTCAACCAAGGTAAGATGAAACCATTTCCCGTGTTTTTGTTTTTTTTGTTGTTGACAAAAAGCTAATTTTTTTTTTTTAGAGAAATAATATGAAGATTTCAATAATACCCTCTTATTCTGTGTAGTGAGTTGATCTCTTCTAGTAGTCTATTGGTATATTGACCTGTAAACTGTCATATTTTAGGAAGGAACAGAATCCCACTAGGTTTGGAAGATCGCACGATTCCCAACTACGCCATCAGAGCCTCCTCACAGTGGGATGGTAACCATGCACCATATCTTGCTCGTCTTAACAACATCAGACGCGGAAGGAAGGTTGGTGGATGGTCTTCCAGAAGGAACCACCGAGGTCAATGGATTCAGGTCGATTTAAGAAGACATACAGCCGTCACAGGGATTCGTACTCAAGGTCGTCAAGATGCGAACCAGTGGGTCAAGACATACACTGTGACTTACAGCAACAATGGAAGACGCTTCATAACATACAAAGTCCGTGGACGAGCCAGGGTAAGCATAGAGAAAGTAGATATATTATTTGTTTTTATAAACATGCTCCAAATAAACGCTTATGTGAGGAATCGTGTTTTGCCATATTCATATTAAACCTAGTCCCCCCCTCCCAAACAAAAACAAAAAAGGTAGTATCCACTTTACATTCAAACCGAATAATTAAAGTTAACTCAATGTGCATTATATATTCCTTAGATGGTCAAATTGTTTTAGCACATCTTGTTACACTAACGGTTATTTCTTATCTCTTCCTACGTGGACTAGAGCCGCCGTGATACTATTGACACTCACTTTTTTTACTTGTTGATAAGTTGTATCATTTCTGTTCTGTTTATGGATTTTCTTCTTCAGGTTTTCGTTGCAAATCGCGACCGAAACACTGTCATAAGTCGTCGTCTGAAACCAGCAATACGAGCACGTTACGTCAGAATCTACCCAAGAACATGGCAGGGTCACATGTCACTGAGAATGGAATTACTTGGAAGGCGAAGATGTAAGTAACTGGCTTCAAATTATATAGAGCTTACTAGTTTGAGCTGCCTTCAACATAGAGTATAGGAACAATATAAGTAACTCGAATAAGGTCTAATAAAAAAATACTTTGATTTGATTTTGGGACATTAGTTCCTGTTAAGTCGTAGGTGATCTGCAATGTCAGTTTATTTTTTGTATTATATGATTTCGTGTTAATTTCTACCATTCGCATCATTAAGAACTTATAAAACCAGAACATATTTCTAAAACAAATATTGCTTTTTGGGGCGGACAAAAAAAAAAATATTGCCTTTAATATGAAATTTTTGTTTTTCAAATCCTGAATTTGAATGTGCCGTTTTGCGTATATGTTCATTGCAGTTGGACCAATAAGACCTCCACGTCGATTACGGGCCCTTGGAATGCAGAGTGGTTACATCCGTAACAACCAAATTCGTGCATCCTCAAACTGGGACCGTAACCACGGTGCCTTCTTGGCCAGACTACACAGACGTGCACGAGGAAGATACCAAGGTGGTTGGTCAGCAAGACATAATAACCGTAACCAGTACATACAGGTTAGACTCCTTGTGATTGTTTTTTTTTTCGTATGGGCAGAATGTATTAAAATAATAATTAAAAAAATAAAATACTAATATTAAATATATTGCGTTTTAGGTGAATTTCCGTCGCCCTAAACTAGTTACCGCAGTTGCTACACAAGGTCGCCAGAACGCCAACCAATGGGTCACTCGCTACTACATCACTTATAGCCTGGATAAAAGACACTTTCTATCTTTCAAAAAACGTGGTCGTACAAAGGTAAGGCAAGATATTACGTTTGGCAGGTTTCTAGCATTTTTGCTTATGGCTTTATACGTTGCAATTCGTTTTAGATATTCAATGCCAACCGTAATCGTAACACAGTGGTTCTCAGAAGACTACGACCAGCCATCAGAGCTCTGAGTGTTCGTATCCACCCCGTCAGCTGGAAATCACACATTTCCATGAGGCTGGAACTGTACGGAAGGAATGCAGGTTGGTTGGTTTGTCTTTTTTCAAACCAATGATGCACCAAAATCACGAGACCATTGCATTTTTGTGTTTGGATTAAGTGCATCGTCTCAAAAACCATGAGAATATTTCCAATTTTAAATACGTAAACAACAAGCAAGGCGACAAACAAACTCACAGCTTACTTACAAAGGTGTATGCAAACGCTTAAACTAGCTAAGGTGTGTGTTGGGGGAGGGGGAGGGGAAGGAGTTGGTTAAATCATTCACATTTTTAGCGTTAGAAACCAAACAGAGATTCGATTTTCGATTTTACCTTACCAACATGTTTATTACTGGCAAAAGAGTCCTCGAGGCTTCGTACTCTTACCCATTATCTCCACTTTGAAACTTCTGTTAACTGTAGCAACAACATTTCCAGGTGCACGTCGCTTGCCTCTTGGTGTTGAAGACCGTCGTATTCCAGACCGTGCTTTCAGCTCATCATCAAGTTGGGACAAAAACCACAAACCAGCAAATGCCAGGCTCAACTTATATCGACGAGGACAAGCAGGAGCGTGGTGTGCAAGACACAACAGGCATGGACAGTGGCTTCAAGTAGATATTGGACGTCTTGCCCGAGTTACCGGTATTGCTACCCAAGGACGACACGACTATAATCAATGGGTGAAAAGCTTCTACGTGAAATATAGTACGAATGGAAGACGATTTATACCCTATAAATATGGCAGAAGATTAGTGGTAAGCTAAATTTGTTGTAATGTTTTGCTCATTTAAATAAAATACCTTCGTTATTGCCTTAATTTAGCTAGTTTGAAAATGAAGCAAATGCACCATATTAAATTCGTAGATACTATGGATACTCGTGGATTTTATGTCCAACCACTTGCAAAGTATTTGGTTCCCTGTATAAATAATAAAATTAAAATAAAATAATTAATTAAAATTTAATTAATTGATTAATTAAAATAAAAACAAATGAAGATATCACTTGAAAAGGTCGTTTTCAAAAATAATCCATATTACAAACTCAATAAAACCCTCAAAGAAACACAGAATTGGCTACCTGTGGTTTTGTTTAAACCTTAGTGAGCGACACCTTTGCATGTTTATGCTCCTCACAATTAGTATGCTTTGAGTATCCACGAGTTAAAAAAGTAATTTGAAAAAACACTTTTCTCTTATAGACATTTCGAGCTAATCGTAACAGGAATTCCATAGTATACAACCGATTTGCTCGTCCTCTGAAAGCACGTTTTGTACGTGTTTACCCAAGAACCTGGCATGGACACATTTCTATGAGGCTCGAACTGTATGGACGACGATATGGTAAGCATGTTGTCTAAAAAAAAAAAAAAAAAAGAATGGCGTATACACGTATTTCAAAAATCTGACTTTGAAATCTAAGACCGAGTAACACGCCAAAACATAAAATATATCCAGAGCCTAACTACGCAGTTTCCTTCATTAGATTGGTATATAAAGAATTACTTTTGAATTAGACGTGCTTTTTTAGCATACACTTAACATATAGTGCTTTTTCTTGTTTTAACCCAAGAAAACGTAAAACCTCAGAAATTGTTTTTAGGCTCAGATCGTCCATTTCAGATCTCTGAACGACGACGTTTTTCTGTAATTGGTGTATACACGACCCCACAAGCTTTTTAGCATTAATTTTTATCGTGTCAAAATAAAGGCCATCGATTTATAAAGATCATTTATCTATAAATATCATCTATCTATTTACCTTTTGATGAAGCTTAACGTTTCAAATATTTTCAGCTGGCCGTCCTCGTCCTCGTTTATACCCAAGTGGTATTTCCAATGGCCGTCTGCACAACAGATACATCACAGCATCCAGCCAATGGGACAGAAACCACGCCCCATGGCTTGCTCGTCTGCATCGTAAACGACGTGGACGTCTAGTTGGTGGATGGTCAGCTCGTAAAAATAACAGGGGTCAATGGATTCAGTTTAACTTGAGATCACCAAAGAATATCTTCAAGATTGTAACTCAAGGACGAAGTGACACGAACCAGTGGGTGACAAGCTTTATCATCCGTTACAATGTAGATGGAAGACGATGGGTGTGGTACAAAAGGAATAGTGTAACTAAGGTAAGATTTAGAGACACAGGTTAATTGTGCGACGCAGGTTAATTGTTTTGGTTAATAAAGCTACGTGCTATGTTATCAGCCAGAAGTTGAACACATTCCTTTAGATTTTATACTTTTTTAAATGACTTTTTTCTTTACTTTATTAAAGGTTTTACGTGGAAACCGCGATAGAAATTCGTTGAAAGCAAATTACTTTGGTGTACCCATTACAGCTCAATATTTACGAATCTACCCAAGAACATGGCATGCACATATCTCCCTCAGGGCTGAAATCTACGTGGGGACCACACGTGAGTGAAACAAGAGATTTTATTTACCAAATTGAATGTTATTTTAGGCGCAGGAATTTTAATTTTTTCATAATTTGTCTACAGTAAATATCAATTTCTATTCAAAATTGCTATAAAACGTTTCATGCCAGTACACCGTGTTTAAAAGTTTTGGTGGACGTCAATTACGTTTCTCAAAGCAAATTTTTCTCGAAAAAAAGCATTCCGAGCTTCAGAGCATGATTCTGAACCTGACTAACAAACAGAAAGTCACTTCTTCGCATCTCGCTTGTAGCTCGCGTTTTTAATTTTTTATTGAAGAAACGTAATCCATATCTTTAATAAATATTCAAAAACACCTTAATAGTTTTTAAATCGTAACACTCATTTACTGAATTGTCATAATGACAACAATTCGTAAAGTTAATTATAAATCGACCTTTATTATTTTCTCCAAACTTCCTATAAGTCTAGGCAAATGCCTGAAAATTAGCGTTGAGTGTGTCATTTTAAAAGTTGAGATTGAATAAGGCGTAAAAAAAATGTAGCCGCTTCCTTAACAACCAATTATAAATACTATAGATCATTCAAAGTGCTTCAAAAACTGACATGATGTCCATGACATTTGTCCCTCGTTATTTATTACATGGCATTTATGACAATACAATATTATGTATATAACAAATTCCCAGGTCCATAAAATTATAAAATTATATGAAATTATAAACAAAAACAATAGAGGCCTTGCACCATTGAGTGATGGCAGCCATGACAGGAGGCAGGAACAATTGAATCTGATCTAATGTAATATACATGAGAAAGGACTCAGTTTCCTAGGAGCAAGATACTCTATTGTTGTATTTCCTGTCATGGCTGCCATCATGCGATGGTGCAAATCCTCTATTAAACAATACGCTTGCTAAATTCACAATTCTCCTAACGTCTTCTTCATGGCTTCAATCCATCCAGGGTTTTACGATATACCAATGGGTGTTGAAGACGGATTGATTCCTTCCAAAAGCATCAGAGCTTCATCACAATGGAACCGCAACCATGGACCATCACGTGCTCGACTCAACACGGTTCGACGTGGGAGCAAGACAGGAGCATGGTCTGCTAGAAAGAATAACAGACGACAATGGATCCAAGTGGACTTTGGAAGAGCAACCATCATCAGTAAGATTCTTACTCAAGGTCGTCAAGATGCGAACCAGTGGGTGAGATCCTACACTGTGTCGTACAGCTACAATGGAAGACACTTTAGGTCTTACACAGTGAGAAGAAGAGTAAAGGTAGGTTCATTAGAAAAACCTGTATTTTGGTTTTTAGTGGGAAAATGTAATTTCTTTAAATTTGAATAATTTCTTAATGCAATATACTTTTTAATCTAATTAAGCTGACTTGCGCAGTATATAAAGCAAGTTATGCATTATATATTTTTGCATATATATCCTTTTAATAATTTCTTTGTGGGTTGTCCCCCCAGGTTTTCTTGGCCAACGCAAACAGAAACAATGTTGTTATCCGTTCCTTAAAGCCTTACATCCGGGCTCGAATCATCAGAATCCATCCACGAACCTGGCAGGGACACATCTCTATGAGAATAGGATTCAGGGGAAGACGTATAGGTAAGAAAAATAACTTTAATACAGTGATAATGGATAAAGTAATAAAGAGACTAAATAAGTGTCATATCAAATAGGAATACCGAAGCCTCGCCTCCATGCCCTTGGAATGCAGAGCGGTCGCATCCGTAACAACCAGATCCGAGCATCCTCAAACTGGAACCGCTACCACGGTGCCTTTTTGGCCCGACTAAACAGACGTGCACGAGGAAGATATCAAGGTGGTTGGTCAGCAAGACATAATAACCGTAACCAGTATATTCAGGTGGGATACTGTTCTTTGAGGGAATGTAACAAATCCACTTTGATGCTGCTTTCAACTATTCATCAATTGTACATAACGTCATCGCTCATATATATATATATACATTAGCTTGCTTTAACATTACCAATAATATGGTCGCCACGTCTTTATGTATTGATCTTCTTGAGAATACTAAGAAGATATAAAAACATTTCCACGTTTTATATGTCCAATATCTTTTGTATCGTTCTATATAATGTCTGCGTTTTGACGTCATTTTCACACCCACCCTCATTTTTGTACAGTGCATAACACACATCTGTGAAAGAATTATTTAAGAAAATTGTACACATTAGTGCAAATTTTAGCAGGTCTTTGGTCTACAATGAGTTCTACTGAACTTACTTATTTGTGCAATTTCTTGCAAGCTTTTTACGGATATACGGTATGCACTCTATTATCAGTATTAGTAATAGACCGTTTTCAAATTAGTCAAATATCGCTGTGTTCCTTGATCACAGACTCATTTATACTGGGGTTAGCCTCATTTCAGTTTCCAAATATCCAMAAATACCAATGGTAAGGTAAAGAATGCACAACTTCAACAATACAAACACTTTTAAATTCTACGGACCTTCACTGGAATGCATGAATATTCAAAGTATTTACATACGAAATCAAGGCTTACCCAGTAGAACAGAGAATTCGAAACTGGAGTATTGGCCGGCACCATAAATAGCGGCCTATTAACCTTACAACAACTCAGATAATATGAACTACCATGACGCTTTTTTCTTAAGCCACGAGTTTTTTTCTTAAGCCACGAATATAAAAGAAATTGCAATGACCATTGTATTATTTTGTTTATATTTCCAATGTATTTTTTGTATTTAAATCTAAAGGTGAATTTCCGAAAGTTCAAAGTAGTTGTCGCCATTGCAACACAAGGTCGCCAGAACGCTGACCAATGGATCACAAGCTACTCCATATCGTACAGTTTGGACAAAACACACTTCACACCGTATAGACCAAATGGCCGAGTGAAGGTAAAAAATGGCTGTCTTAGCTAAGTGTACCTTAGGAAATGTCAATCATCACAAACTAAGAGTGATAATTGTATTGGAATAGTTTTTTTTGTTTTTTTGTTTTGTTTTGTTTGTTTTGTTTTGTTTTGTTTTGCTTTGTTTTTTTTGAGTCAATTTCAAATATGTACTTTCTGATAAAACAATAACCCAGCTTATAGTACACTCAACAAAATTACTCGACTCTGATTGGTCGAGAGGAGTACAATTATAGCGTTAATTGTACTCCGTAGGAGTACCGAATTAAGTCGCTATGGCAACACGGCCAAAACAATGCCAAAACAATTATTTTCTATCATTTTGTACTTTAAAAACATAGATAAAATGTTAAAGCCGTAAGAACTAATCTTTTTTATGCATTTCAGTTGCGCGATGGACTGAACATCGGCCGCCAAATAGAGAATAGACAAAGAACGGCGTCGCTTAGCAATTTTTACTGAAATTTTGTTGAGTGAACTATAAAAAAAAAATCGCACGATCTTCTCGTACAATTTGGAATTAATAGACACTCGTAATGTTTGAAAGTTCTTTAATTGCACTCGCCTAAAGGCTCGTGCAATTACAAGAACTTCCAAAACATTACTCGTGTCCATTAATTTCCAAATTGTACTCGAGATCGTGCGATTTCCTATACTTACATCTTCTCTTGCGAACTCGCAAAATTTTATTATCATTCACATTTTCCCCCGTCGTTTTGATTGGCCGAGATAACTGCATATAAGTGCCTACAAATAATAATCCGCTCATGCGCATTACGGTGCAAAGCCGTTTTGATACAAATGATTGAACATTGCTCGCTTGAACATTGAAAATGATGAAAAAATTATTAACTTGCTCTTTTACTCCGACGAAGGACTAGCGTCCGAAACGTCAGTCAGTTTTTTCATCTTTTCGCGGTGTAAAATTTGCCCTTTTATTACTACTGTTTCATTAGAAACACCGACGCAGCACACAATAGTTTTTAGCTAGTTATCTTTTCTTATTTTGAAAAAAACGTCCAGTGAGACGTCGAAACGTCAAATCTCTTCGTTTATTTTCATTGCAAAATATCTCTTCTTAGTTGTATTATATATAATTTCACAAAATGATCATGAAGGATTTTTTGAAAAACATCCTCCGTTCTATATTCTTACTCTAGATATTCCGCGGAAACAAGAACCGCAATGGAATAGTTCGACACTTTCTGAGACCAAGCATCAAAGCAAGAAGCATTCGTATTCACCCAATTCGCTGGAGAAGTCATATTTCCATGAGATTTGAGCTGTATGGACGAAGCGCTGGTATGTAATGTTCTTATCCGTTCTTATCAGACAGCAAATATGTACTCTAAACTAAGCGCGTATAAAATCGCCCCGTCATGAAGTAAAAATTGTGTTGACAACTTCGTAGCCTAGTAGGTAAGATATACTATAATTGCAGTGCAATGTCTCATAACGGGTTACTATTCGGGTGGTTTTGTAAAAATGTTTTAACTTGTGTACGTTTCCCCTCCCTTGCTTTAAATAAATGGTAGTAACCCAATGATCACTATCGCTTTTTTTTTTCTGTTTTCCTAAACTCTGTAATTCTTTTTTTCTCCTATTTTTCTTTTTTCTGTCATACTTTATTTATTTTTTCCATTTTTGAGTTTGAATATGTGTATACTATGTACAATACACAACTGCAAAGGAAATGCATCGTTTATTTTTATTATTTTTTTGTTATTTTTTTGATCGTCCGAAACACAAATTCAAACATTTTCTTTTATTTTATAAACAATTTTTTTTTTAAACTCCTTACA